TTTTCTTACTTTTTCTTTCTTACTTTCTTTCTTTCTTTCTTTCTTACTTTCTTTCTTTTTTTCTTACTTTTTCTTTCTTACTTTCTTTCTTTCTTTTCTTTCTTTCTCTCTCTCTTTCTTTCCATCCTCCTTTCTTTCTTTCCTTCCTTCTTTCCTTCTTTCTGTCCTTCTTTCCCTCTTTCCTTCTCTCTTTCCTACTTTCCATGTCTGTTGCCCTCATGACCAGAGCATCAAGGACCATAACTCTCTCCTGAAATACCACAGGATGGGGGATTTTCGGGCATAAAATGCACATTTAGGTGGTGACAAGCCCCTGCTTCACCCTCAAGCAGAGCAGTTAAGACCAAGTGCCCACGAACCAGTTTCCACCCAGCACAAAATCTGGGGGATTTCTTTAAATTTTTCACCCTCAAAACGCCCATGAAAAAAGGCAATCTGCTTTTCTCTATCATTTTCCAACCACCAAAACATTCACCGTTGACCTTCAGTATTAAATTGCATTAAGGAAAAGTGCTTTAATAAGGAGCTGAATACGATGTCAGCACTTGATCCTCAAAAAACCCCGTGTCCTCCTCTCAGTTTGGACATGGCTGCACTTCAGGGTGAAAGAGCTTGGCTGAGACTACTTAATGCCAAAGCTTGACTTTTGCTAAGGAAAGAAATAATGTTAACAGACCTATTTTTACAGATTAATTCAGGTGATACAAAGGGGTGTCATTAGAAATCCCAAACACTCGTGCTTTCGGTTTTAATCCTCAGCCTCCTGCAATCTGCCCTCTGCTTTCCAGACCCTTGGATGAAACCTCCAGCCCTTTCTCCATAGTTTTGAGGCCGCCCAGAGGGGTTTTTTAAGGATAACGTGACGCCTGTGTCTTCCCACGACTCCCAAAACCAGGATACACCAAGACGAAGCCGTCCCAGAACGAGCAGCGCTGCCCGTGCACATCCCGTTGCCAAACCACCTATTTTTGGACCACGGCCACGCATGGAAAACATGGCAGAGGGATAACCCACATCCCAACACTCCCTACCTTCACTGCTCTGCCCCGCTGCCGCCTCCCTCCCCGGGGATCTCTCCCGTGGGTGCTCCCGGCACGGGACAGCGCCGGGGGTGGGATTTGTTCGCTTCTCCCCCGACCGACCGACGGACGGGTGTTTTCATTTAATTAGGAGAGGGTTGTCCGGAAAAACAAGCAGGAAGGGAAAACAATAGCTCGGCCACAGCCCCGCCTGGCGAGGCGCCGGCCCCGGCACGGCCCCGAGCGCCCACCGCCGGCATCCTGCCCTTGGGATCGCTGGGATCACCGGGATGCTGCCGGAGCGGCACCGCGCGCTCAGCGGGGATGGTCCCATCCCACCTCCAGAGGCCAGGGATGACCTTTGGGATGGTGGTGACACCACGTAAAGGGTCGATTTTCCCCCGTGTGTCTAAAATAGAGCCGTATACCTGTTATAGCAACAAGGGGAAGGGGATCAGAGATTCTCCCAGAGCTTCTCCCACCCTGGGGTGTCAGACATCCCAAAAAACACCTCCCAGCATCCGCACAAGTGAAGAAGAGCATTAACCCAGCTGTGGGACAGTCAGATGCTTCCCAGGCTTTTTTTTTTTCCCCCTCCCATTTTGTTGATTTTAATTTTTTGTTAATGATACTCAGCATTTACAGGCTTTGGCTCAAACGAGCTTTTCCCAGGAGCAGCCTGGGAAGTTGGCACAGCAGCACCAGGCCCACCACGACTGTCCTCAGCACAAGGGAACAGGGGCAAATCCCTCTCCCATCCCTGTCTCCCTGCATCCAAGGGGACACCTCTGCAAACGAGGGAAAGGTTCATTTGGGTTTCTCTCTCCTGTTGGCAGCGTGGGGAGAGCAGGGGGTTGAGCTGGGATGAGCAGGGGGATGAGGTGGGATGAGCAACATGAGGCTTCTCTCCCCTGGGAGCAGGCATTGGCTTCTGACAGCACAGCCCACAGAGGGTTAATGGCTTGGTGCTTTCTCATTTATTTTATGTGTTTGTTTTTTTTTTTTAATTTTTAAACCCCACCAGCCTCTCTGGATGGTTTTCTCCTTTTCTTTCACAGACAGAGCTGCAAAGCCACAGTGATACTTCTAAGGATGGATGGACATCAACCCTGCTGTCACCCTTCATCCCCAAACTGGCCCAGTGAGGTGACACAGCTCCTGGGGGATGCCACCATCCCTCTGTCCCACCAAGGGTGACAGCAAGGGCAATGCCAAGCCCTGGGAGTCCATCCCAGCACATGTGAAGTCGAGCACCATCCCCTTTGCAGGCACGGCCTCTGCTGCAAAAATACTGGGGCTTCAGCAATGCCACATCATTTCCAGCCCAGGACAAATCCCAATCCCTTGGGAAGGCACCAAAGCAGGCTGGATGTACCAGTCTGTCTGTCCCTGTCCCCTCGGTCAGGGCTGAAAGGGGTTTCTTTGGGCAGCTCAGCCAGACCCAGCACGTGGTGCAGAAGCTCTGCAGGTAATTCCAGAGCTGCGCCAAGCCCGGAGCCGGGTCTGGAGTTAAACCCCGAGGAGACGCTGCTGGATTTGGGCAGAGCAGGCGTCCTCCTGGCAAACACAGACAGGACAGCCCGGCCGCGGGGTCCCCGCCAGCGCCTGGCACAGCCAGTGACACCCGGCTGATGGAGATGTCCCCGAGCCGCCACCCTGGCACGGGAGCAGGCGGCGGGATGGGATGGGGTGGGGTGGGCTGCTGCCTTCCTGCCGGCGGGGTGCGGGACCTCCCGCGGAGCCACTGCCCGGGTGGACGAGCCCGGGGGATCCGCAGACACGCAAAGCCACTGTCCCCCTCCCTCCCCTGCCCGGGAAAAACAGGCGGAGGGAAGATCCAGGGAGGAAACGAGGACAAAACCCAGCGCTGACCTCCCCAGCCGGGCTGGCGGCCAAGCGGCTGCGCCAGGGGCCGGCTCCGAGCGCTGCCCAGCCCGGGGGGAGCCGGGGAAGGGAATCAGCCCCACAGACCCCACGGATGTCCCACTGCCAGCGAGGGAGGGGGTGGTTGCAGCAGGGCAGGCGGTGTTCCAATCCCCCCGTGGATCATAGGACTCCTCCTAGGAGCCCCAAATTCGGTGCCAGGAGCATGGATGGTGCAGCGGGGCAGCCACTGTGTCCCTTGTGCAGAGCCTGGAGACATCACAACCCTGAGCCAGAACCACTTCCATGTGCTGCCACACGATGGCCGGGAAGAGGGTGAGATCCCCGGGAAGCAAGGTGGATGGGTGGATGGATGGAACCTCCTCCCAAGCACTGCTCCATGAGGCTTTCCTCAGAGGGCAGCATCCCCTGCCCAGCACCACAGTTCCCATCCCCGTGGAAGCCACCACGACCTTCCAGGTGGGTCAACAGGAAGGTGGGATATGTCACTTCCAAGGTTTGCCTCACCCCCAGCCCCCAGCAAACCTACAAGCACAGCGTTTTCCAACCCAACCCCAAACCACAAAACTGTTCAACCTTGAACCTCTCCCAGCATTCCAGGCAGGGCTTTCCAACCTGGAGCATCCTCTCCAAACCCCAGCACTGACTCCAGGGATGGTCCCATCTCCGGTTCTTTCCTAAACCCAGCCTTGACTGAGGCTCTTTGGGAAGCACCACTTGTGCTCCTCTGGTCCAGGCATAGAACGTTTGGGGTTGGATGGGACCTTAAAGATTATGTCATTCCAACCCCCCTGCCGTGGGCAGAGGCACATTCCATTAGATCCAGTTGCCCAGATTAAGGATCTGGGTGTACCAGGTCCTTCTTACCTCACACTTTAAACATTTTTTATGAACATGCATTAAAATGCCTCATTTTTATCATGATTTTTCCAGCAAATCCAGCACCTCAGGGAGCAGAGCTTTAACTCAGACAGGGTGTCAGCAGCCTTGGCTCCAGGCAAAATATAGAATTGTAAAAATAATAACAAAAAAGGGATAATTTATTGTAATTAAGTCCTTTACCCATCACATCTGCACTGCCATAGCCAGTCTTTCCCCATATTCCAAGGCCATCCCAGGAGAGGCAGATGAACACCGAGGTTGGCTGAAGAGGGGACAGCAGCCCTGAAGGATATGGGGACAAGTTCTCAGTGTCCCCATGTGGGAAACCCAACAGAACCATCCCTGCCCTGCCCAAACCACTCCAGCAACACAACACAACCTTGTTGTTCCCCTTAGAAATAAGAAAGGGAAAATTAGGAAGCACAGAGCCTGACCCTCAGCTCGTCCTCCCCACCAGCTCCTCCAGCCTTACAGGGACCCGTGGGATGCCAGGGGACATCCAGGATGCAAAACACGTGGAGGATCCGGGCATCCCCATTTTTGGGGCCAGGCAAACGTGGCAGCAGATTAAAAACTTCATCTCTTGCTCTTCCCAGAGCACTTTGTCATGGCCATCAGCATGTCCCCATCTATAAAGGCTTAAATGCAGCAAAGTGGGAGAGCCCTCAGTTTCCTTCTCCAGCCAGAGCACGGAGGGAGGGTGGGAAAATCAGCAATTCCCCCAAAACCTTCAAAGACTCTCTGATGTTTTGACACATTCGGTTCATCTGCAAAAGGTTCTCTCCCCCCCACCCATTTTTCCTCCAGCAGAAAAACCTGCATCTTAAAAACAACCAATATTTAATCAACTCGCAGGCAGCCTCCCGCTTCTCCCTCCCTTTTCCAAAGAAGCCAATTCCAGAGGCGGCAGCGGGTTATTTTTGTGGAGGGGTTGACGAGCCTCTCCGGCAGACGGGAGAGGAATACAAGGCCGTTTATCTCGCCTGGTAACAACCCAACACGCCGTTAATTCCTCACAGGGAGAACAAAGCTCCGCCGCGGAGCCAAGGGGACCCCGGCAAAAGCCCCGGAGCGGTGCTTATCCCAACCTGCATCCTCAGGGAAACTCCGTGGTCAGAGCCGGAATGTTTGCACCCAGCGAGATTTCACCACAGATCCAGGGAAAAAAAACAAAATAAAAAAGAATAAATCCTTTTATCTTTCCAAGGAGGAATTTTTGCTCTGTAAGGCAAATCTTCCTCTGGTCCTTGCTGAGGCCGGGTGTGGAAGGAAAGGCTGAATTCCCAACTTTTCCCTGTCTTCCTCGCAGGGCTGCTCGCTTGAGTGGGCTCTGGGCATCTCCCTCCCCACCTCAGGGAATGAAACACTCCCAAAAACACCCCTGCGTGTCCCCTGGTCCATCAGCATCTCCTCTGGGAGATGGGATGCAGGGGCAGTTCCAGCAGCTGATTCCGTGCCAGCAGGAATTTTACAGTGTGACTGACCAGCACGAACCCAATCCCAATCCCAATCCCAATCCCAATCCCAATCCCAATCCCAATCCCAATCCCAGCCGGTTTACCCCCAGTCTCGGAGTCAGGGGGTGCCGAGCCCCATCCCACCATCCCGTCCATCATCTCCTGCGCTGAGCCAACGCCGTTTCCTTATTTTTCCAAGCTTGCACTTTCTTCCCCCTCCCGAAAAGCCTCTCGGACGCTTTCCCGGGGTGTTATGACGGGCACGGAGCCAGCGCTGGGGCAATCACAGCCCTGCACTTTTAGGGATGGGGAGGGAGGCACCAGGGTACCGGGAACCGCGGTCTGTGGTCACGGCACATCCCAGGGGATTTCCCGTGGATCCTCCCAGCTCAGGCCTGCCCTCTGCAACTCAGAGTAACCTCCCCCCAAAACTCCGCCGGCCGACAAAATAGGTCACTGCCGCAGGCGAGAGCCCCGGCTCGGATGTTTTTATTATTATTATCGTTATTTTTTTAAGTGCAGGGATGGAAAATCCCTTTCCCAGCCCGCAGCGGGGTGGGATGCTGCGCCCTCCCCGCGGCCTCGCTCCTCCGGGATGTCGGGGTGCTCCCAATGTCCCTCAGACCCCTGGGAAAAGGGGGGGCCCACGACTGGAGCCAGCCATGGCGGGGGGGGGGGGAAGGAATTGGCAAAATGATGGAGTCATCCGGGGAATGGGAATGGCCGAGGAAGCGGCATCTTCTGCACCCCCCCCCTCCCCTCAGCCAATCCTCCGGCCTGGGGGCCCCAAAAGTGTGTGTGTCCCCCAAATCCTCCCGGAGACCCCCGGGTGGGAGCGCTGAGACGGGCGGGGACCCCCTCGGGGGGAGGAGGAGATCAGACCCCTCCTCACGCCCCTTCTGCACCCCCCAAGCCCCCCCATCCCCCCTCAAGCCACCCCAAAGCGGCGGGGGAGGGGGGGGGTGCGTTTTTAATGCCATTTTAACCAAATACAACACATTTTCCCCTCGCGCAAGGGGAGGACCCCACGCAAACCCCCCCGAAGCTGCTGGCAGTGCAGCTCCCGGGTGGGCTGCGCTCTTTGTGCCCCCCCAAAAACACACGGCCACCCCCCCCCAGTGCTCCCCCCACGCGTGGATGCAGCATCGCCCATGCAACTCCCCCCCCACGCCCGCTTCCCGCATCCACCTCCGCCGCCCTGGCCGGGATTTGGGCAAGTTTCGAGGCCTTTGGGAAGTCGGCAAAGCCCCGGGAGCGCGAGGAAGCGACGGGGGAAGGAAGGGGAAAGGAAAGGGAGAAATAAAAGCGAGGAGAAAAGGGAAAAGGGGTGGGGGGGTGTTCAGGCTCTACCATTTTGATGCAAAGGTCTCCGCGCTGAGGAGTCCCGGTCCTCCTCCGCTGGCCTGGGGTTTGTGCTCTCCATGAAAAAACAAGGAATTGGTGGGTTGGGTGGGTTGCTGGGTTGGTGGCTTTTTTTTTTTTCCTTTTTCTTTTTTTTTTCTTTTTTTTTTTTTGCTTTTTTTTTTTTTTTTTTTTTTTTTTTTTTTTTTTTTTTTTTCCTTTTAGAGGAGGAGGAGGAAGAGGGGGTGGAGGGGGGAGGAAATCACCGCGCCAGCGCCGCTTGCATCCCCTTCCCTCTTTTCCTATTTTTTCCCCCCCTTATAATTTCCTTTTTTCTTTTTTTTTTTTTCCTCTCCTCTTTTTTGTTCTTCTTTTTCCCCTTCCTTTCTTTTCTTTTTCCTTTTTTTTTTTTTTTTTTCCCCCGCTTTCCTCTCCTTCTTCTCCTTCCCTCCTCCTCCTCTTCACCTCATCCTGCCCATCGCCATGTTCGCCCCTTTTCGGAAGCCGGAGGAATGCGGAGCGGCGGCGGCTCCGGCTGCCAAGAGCCCCGGGGCCGCTGATTGGAGCCGCCGCATCAGCTGGGGCCAAGGCTGCCCCTTTAAAGCGACAGCAGCCACCGCCACCCCCACCGGGACACCCCCGTGTCCCCTGTCCCCGCACCCCAACCCTCCCTTAGGGTCGCCCCCGCAGCGCAGCATCCCCCGGGGAGCATCCTCTGGATCCCGCTGAGGCGCGCGGAGCCCCCCCAGCTCAATTAAAATAAACACCCCGAGGCTTTTTGGGGCGTAAATCCTCGGTTTGGGGTGTTGAGGGATAGCGAGGATTTATGTTAAACCCCCCAGTTCGGGGTGTCGTGGCATAACGTGGATTTATTTAAAAATGGGGGTTTTAGAGGAAATTGGGATCCCCGCTGGGAGGGTGTTTAAGGCACATTTGGTTATTGGAAGCATCCTCTGGGTGGTGCTGGAAGAGGGAAACTGAGGCACACAGAGCCCCTTCCTCCCAAAAAATCGATAGAAACACCCCAAGGCTTTTTGGGGCATAAACCCCTAATTTGGGGTGTCGTGGCATAACGTGGATTTATTTAAAAATGGGATTTTTGGAGGAAATGGGGATCTCCCCTGCCACAGACAGATGAGAGGGGTGGTGTTTGAGGCACATTTGGTTATTGGGAGCAACCTCTGGGTGCTGGTGGAGGAGGGAAACTGAGGCACACAGAGCCCCTTTCCCCCCAGAAAAAAAATCGATAAAAACACCCCAAGGCTTTTTGGGGCATAAACCCCTAATTTGGGGTGTCATAACGTCGATTTATTTAAAAATGGGATTTTTGGAGTGTTCTCCCACTGTTTGAAGGAAGTGGGGATCCCCCACTAGGCACATTTGGTTATTGGGAGCAACTCTGGGTGCTGGTGGAGGAGGGAAGCTGAGGCACATGGACCCCCTTTCTCCCCACCCAAATCCATAAAAAGATCCCAAGGCTTTTTGGGTATAAACTCCTAATTTAGGGTCCTGTGGCATAACATCAATTTATTTAAAAATAGGATTTTTGGGCTTTTCTCACACTCTCTGGAGGAAATGGGGATCCCCCACTGGAAGGGTGTTTAAGGCACACTTGGTTCTAGGAGAGGGGCCCCCCAAAGCCCCCTGAGGGCCTGGGACGGGATCTGTGAGGCACAACCAGTCCCAAATACCACCCCCCCAAAATAAAGTAAACCTTCATTATTTTGCCCCCAGCTCTGCTTGGATGATGAGCCAGGGGTGAGTTTCATCATCCCAACATTCTCCAGCCTCAGCCAGGAGCTGGGTTTCCCCAAAATCCTCATGCTGGGGACCGAGGGGGGCAAAGCTGGAGCAGCTCCAGGGTGTCTGGGGAGGGATCACACACAATCCCACGGTGCTCCCACACCTCCAGCACCAGGACAGGCTCTGCCCTCAGCTCTGGGCTCCACCAGGGAAGGAGAAGGCAGCCCAACCGAGGCTCTTTGGGGTGGTGACCACCTCCAAAACCCATTTCTGACTCACCATTCCCACAGGCACCATCCAAAGGCACGTGGATTCCCTTGCACCACCCTAAAAGCAGAGAAACACAGCGGCTCTGAAGGGCATTGGCCACACGACAACGGGGCTGGGGGCACCCTCAGAGCTGCTCCATCTTCATCCCACCTTCCCGGCTCTCCCCCTTTCCCGAGCCACTCCCTCCTGCAGACATCCCTGTGGTAATGTCTTGCACTTGTTTGGACTCTGCCTTGTTTGTAACTCCTTCCAGATGTGCTTTGCATAACGTCTCCGTGGCCACGTCCTGCCTGCTCTGGGTTCATTCAATGTACTTTTGGTTTTTGGTTTTTGGGGTTTTTTTTGTTTTTTTTTTTTAATGCCTTTTCTCGCTCCCAGCCCTGCTCTGCTCCATAGGAAAAATTCCTGGCCGATGCCACCGGCAGCTCTCCCCTATCAGGAGGCTTTTCGTGAGATGAGTGTTCGGCCCTTCCAACACGTCTCCTACACTGGAAACTTTTCCAAAAGCTACATAAGCTCCTGGAAAACACTTGGCTGACACACAGCCAGCGCTGGGGGCAAGGGGGAGATGAGGCTGGAGGTGGGAGCTGGGGATTTAAGCTCTGCTCTGCAGCCCAAATCCCTGTGGCACCTTCATGGATGTGGCACAGGGGACCAGGGAGCTCCAGAGCTTGGAGGCCTCGTAGTTCAGGGAGTATTCAGGGATGGTCAAAGCCCTGATGCCACTCTGGTGGGCTCACCATGAGGTCCTTGCCTTTTGGAGGATGCTGAGCCCACCCCTCACGTGGAGAGCTGGTCAGAGTTCAGTTCAGTCACTGTTAAGGAGCAGGTTTTCCAGCAAGACAAAGTTCTGGAGAAATTGGTAAACAAGGAGCATGTGGAGGGAGGCTTGTTGACACCAGAGAAGTGCTGTGTCTCCTCCTTGACACTTTCCAGCAGTGTGGTGCCCACAAAAGGGACATCTCCTGCAGCTTTACCTCTCACTTTCTCTCCCCAGGCCCTGAAATGGCAATCCAGTGACTTCACAAGGTCACACGGGAGGTCTTAAATGAAAGATCAGCCACAACAACACAGAGACTGGAAAACGTTTAGGAAAACGAGGAGAGGCTCATAATTCCCTGGTATAGCTGATCCCTGATATTTCAATTTGCATTTCCATAGCTGTGGTCCTTTCCAAGGGAAGTGTCAGCAAGGACGTGGGAGAAAAACAAAGCTGACACCCTGTAACAGCTCAGAGAGCTTTGAGTTTGTGAGGACCCTCACAGGAACCTGGAGGGATTTAGGATGTGTAGGTGTGGAGCCAGGAAACGTGGTTTGGTGCTGTCCTTGGCAGTGCTGGGAGAATGGTTGGACTTGATGATCTTAAGGGTCTTTTCCAACCCAAAAGACTCTGTGAAGGCCTGGAAGGGTCTCTCCAAGCAGGTACAACGTCCTCTCGCTGCCTCTGCCTGCCTGGGATTCACTGCTCTAAGTGCAACAGCTGTGCTCTGCTGGGCATCTCCTGTGGGCTGGAATTCCAAAGGGAGGGATCTCCAGGAGACGGTGAGATGAGCTCCCTTGGTGTCCACCCTTCCTGAGCCAGCACTGAGCCCCCGGCACGTCAGGGCTTGGGCAGAGCAGGAGGTGGAAGGGCCCTCCAGATTCCCATGGGAAGACAGGAGGGAAGCTGGGGACATGGTCAGCCCTT